CAGGCTGAACAGATCCAACTTCCTTCATACAGGAGGTGCTCGAGCCCCCTTATCATCTTTGTGGTCTCCTCTGGACTTGCTCCACCAGCTCCATGTCCTTCTTATGTTGAGGACATCAGAACTGCACACAGTACATCATTTCTCCAAATCACTTCAGGCTTTACAGCAAATTATTTTGGAGCTTGTTTTGTTGAGTATTAACCACAAAGCTATTTTTGGTGGAGGATGAAGAGAAATTTGGGGTTTCTGGAGAAAATATTAAAGCCAGTTCAAGAGACCTCAGACAGCAAGAGATAATCTTGCCATCAAAAAATGTGATGTGTTAAGTCACACTGGCATAAATTGCCCTCATTAAGTTTCAAAGTTAACACAGTCCAGAGACAAATTGAAACAACCACATTGCTCAGAATTATAATTCCAGTTTCTGTAACCTTGTAAAGATGAAGGAGAGCTCAAAATTAACACCTGAGCTAGTTCTGTGTTATTGTGAACAAAGAGAAAAATCATTCCACACAGACTGGATCTTCATCACCTTGGCTCCAGCACCCATCTGCTTCCACTGGCAAGACTTGAGTCATTTTAATACTCCGCTGATTAACCCTGCCATCTTTACAACCAGGTTTAAGGTGGAGCAATCTGTATGATAAAAAGATCCTGCAAATTATTTAGTTAAGGAAAAAAAAAGGCAGATGCTGCAGCAAATCCCTCAGCACTGCAAGGCATGTGGGGACTTGATCACAGCGGTGATGAGAAATAGGCACAGATAGTGCACTTGGTATGTGTGGGCAGACCCCTACCCAACATCTCCAAGAGCCTGCCAGGAGCCTGCCCACGCAGACCCAGCTACATGAAACAGCACTTCAAATGCTAATTTTCACTTTACTACTAAAGGTATCATTAGTGGAAAGGTTCTAGTTAGCTATCAAAAATAGCTATTCTTTCTTAGAAGTTGTCACAATCCTTTGTGCAGCAGTCACAAAGGATCCTAGAGCACCTCAGTGGCAGCATGGCCTTAGCTGCATCAAACTGAGCTACAGGTAAGAATTATTTCTTCTGCTCATGCTAAATAACAAGCAGATTTTTGTAAACCTTAACAACTACCACGCTGCTAAATATCTGCTGTGACTGCTTGCAAACCTGCCCCCTCAGTAACTGCCAGTCCACAGAACAGGTTCCACTACTATGGAGCATTAAGAGAAAAAATATTCACACCTGTGCCCATCTCCATAAGCTCACATCAGCCTGTGTCGGATGAGCAGCACACCCATGCAAGTAACCATGTGTAAAGGAAATAAATAAATAAATCCACACAGCAAAGGCCTGTTTGCTTAAAAGCAAGATAAACCAAATGCATCACTTATGGAAAGAAGCAGAGAATAAACATACTTGGTGTCCCTCTGTGCCGAAGCCCAAAACCACACTTTATCTGGAACAGAACATCTCCTGCATGCTCCCTGCACAGCCCACTAAAACGATTCCAGGATTTGTGTTCGTTTCCTGCTTTTTTGGGGGGTGGGTTGTTGTTTTATTTTAAAATGTCGTCATTATCAAAAATACAAGGGACTAAGAGCCTGAGGAACACCACTGCCAGGACTGCAGCATTGTCTTGACAGATACACACATACACACTCCCCCTCCTCTCCACAATCTGCCTGCTCTTGACAAGCCATGCTTTTAATTAAATGTATCCTAAGATGTGCTGAGAGGAAACTGCATATGAACACTTGCCAGAAATTAACTTCTAGTGCAAACAGCTTCTCTACACCTCCCCCCCCCCCCAAAAAAAAAAAGATACACTAGAAGCCATTCACCTCTGCCAGGCTTCCTCCTAGAGCAGATCCCGTCCTCCTCCTCCACCGTTTGGCAGCAATTTCTCCTGCAGCCCTCCCTGCTCCTAAGCCCTGGACCCTTTAAAACACCCACAGAAATCCCGTATCCCTGGCTGGGAGAAGCACAACACACATGGGCACTACCTTTACATTACGCGGTCCCCCCATTATTTCACACATCCCCCAACATCTGCCAACAACTGCATCCTTCCCAGCCGGCCCTGGGAGGAATACAAGCTGCCCTTGTCCAGGGAACACTGCAGTATTCTGCAGTACGGCCACGCCAGAGGCAGAGCGCCCTGAGCCCTTCGGCTCGGCGGAGGAATGACTGGCACAACACAGCAAGGCTTTTGCGCTATTTATTTCCACGAGCGAAGGGCGGGAGGCACCCACTCACCCAAAGAAAACCCTGCACAAGTGCCCTTGGCTGCCAAGGGTAGACGGGGAGCACCACTCCCAGAGAGACTCTTTGGCAGAAGGGGTCAGTGGTGCCCGAGATTTTCGGTGCCTGGTAAAGAGAAGAGACCTGGCAACTTGAGACCTTTGCATTCATGCACAGAAAGAAGCAAATACCACCCCCATGAGCATACACAGCATGAAAATAATACCACATAACCGACTGAGCAGCAATTTTAATCCAGGCACGCACCAACTTTTGAGCATCTCCAGGCTGAGATTTACGTTCTTTCCACCGTGCCCATCAGGACAGACATCCATCCGTTCCTCGCCCCTTCCAGCCCCACCCCACGGCTGACATGTACCATGCCCATCTCCTCCACACCACGCTCCCACCGCACTGCATTGATCTGTGCTAGCAGTCCCACAGCCCAAAATAAAACACCGAAAGGGATTTAATAAAAGGAGACAGGTTTGGAAAACGCCGACCCTGGCGCAAGATAACAGCTTGCACGTTTGATCAGAGGAGAGGGAATACGGGGAAGGAGGGAGGGAGAGGTGGTGTCCTGCAAGCAACTCGAAAGCCCCAAACCATGGGGTTGAGGTATATACCAGGGGTCCCTTTACCCAGGGTGCCTTCACCGGCAAGGGACACGCACCCAGCTTTGGGGCAGGGTCGCTGGCAGAAGCAGCCCAGGGACGGGTGGGGGGTCACGCTGCCACCGCTGCCCCCCAATGCTCCTGCATCGCATGGGGCAAAGTTTCATCGGGTCGGGAGAGGTTTCCTCTCACCTGCCCCCCCCCTTCCCCAGAGCCTTGTCTCTTACCTTCATGTCGCTTATGATGGTCTGGAAGAGCCCTCCGAGAGCACTACATTCCTTCTCTATCACAGCCTCCATTTTCCTCGCTCGAGCACACTGGAGGAGGCACAAACTGCTGCAATTTCACTACCGAGCTGAAGAAAAATGAGACACCCCGGTCTCCACCTCACGTAAAAATGAAACAGAAAAGAGGGGAGGGGGCAAACAAGCCGACGGAGGCAATAAGGGAAAAAAAAAAAACACCCAACGCACCTGAACCCCTGCCTGCTACACTCTGAAAGCTGAGAGAACGGGGGGAAAACCAAACCCCCGTGCTGCCGCCGGCGGTCCCTACACACACCTCCCCGCCCGGGCACTCGGGGCCGAGCGGCCACTGTTCTCCCTCGCACGGGCAGCCGCGAAACCCATCTCTGCCCGGAACGGCCTGAGCCCCGGCGGCGGCCGCGGCCCCCCGCGCCTCCGGCACGGCAACGCGCTCAGCTCAGCTCAGCGCAGCGGCAGCCCGCAGCCCGCCAGCTCCGCGGCAGATGCGCACGCACACCCGAGAAACTACAGAGGAAAACCTGTATCCCTGTATACACGGATGTCTCTAGATAAAAAAAGAGGTGCGACTGCGCGTCCAGCCGGTGCCCGGGACGCAGCACAGCGGCTCCCTGCCCGCCCCAACCGACCCCACTGCCGCTGCCTCCACTACACCCACCCGCTACCCGCCCTCCACAGGAAAGCCCCGGCCCGCCAGGGCACCGCCCGCCCCGCCCCGCGCGTCACCAACGAGGCCGCTGATTGGCCCCGAGCGGCCGATGGGCGCCGGGTTCGCGCCCCGCGGCCGGCGCGCTCGCTGCCCCCCCCCCTCGTCACCCCGGTGTTTGTCAGGGGGGTCCCGTCCCCCAGAGCGCCCGGCGGAACTGGGGGTTTTAGTGGTGACATTCACCGAAATTGCCCCAAATTCGGGTCTTTATGTGAAAACCAGCTGCCTCAGCGCACCGGCTGGGAACGGCTGAGCTGGAAGCAGCCGGCGGAGGTAGGAGCAACGGAAGATACAGCCCAGCGTGGTGCAGTGACAGCAGCTTCAGTTGCAGATACTGTGGGGCTGTTCATTCATCCTGGCCCAGGAACGCAAGGCGATGTGTAAGGGTGTTAGTCACAAAAACAAGGGGGTTTTAAGGCAATCCAGTTTTCACATGCACTGTGCCAAATTTTGCAGAACACCATAGTCATACTTGCATATTTATGCATGCACCCCGGCTACAGCTCACCCCCTGCAAACGCCTAGGTACATAGAATCACGGTTTGGGCTGGAGAGACCTTAAAGCTCATCCAGTTGCAACCCCCTGCCACGGGCAGGGACACCTTCCACTAGAGCAGGTTGCTCCAAGCCCTGTCCAACATGGCCTTGAACACTGCCAGGGATGGGGCAGCCACAGCTTCTCTGGGCATCCTGTGCCAGTGCCTCACCAACATCACAGGGAAGAACTTCTGCCTTGTATCTAATCTAAATCTACCTTTTTCTAGTTTAAAGCCATGCATGTGACAGATTGCATTCTCCATGTTGATGTAGCACTGCAGGGAGAGGCTGAGCAGGTGCCCTGCCTGCAGTGGGGCCATGGCAGCACTGGCTGCTGCAGTGATTTCCCCTCTGCTTTTCCCCACTTGACTGCAGGGAGAAAACACCTCAGCCCAGTCCGACCAAGCAGTTCATTCTGTGGCTCTGTAAGACCCTTGCTCCCAACGACGAGCCCAGTGAATGACCCCAACAGCCTGTGGTAGCAATACCTTCTCATCACATGCAGAGCTTAGGTGCTGTCACACAGCCAGTGTGACAGTGTTCCCCTGGGACAGAGTCACATCCAGCAGTTCAGCAGGGAATGTTGGTGGCCTACTTTGCTTTCTTCAGCCGTACCGTTTCTGGGATGATCCTTGGTTTAGTGCAAGCAGTATTTTGGCTAACCTCTGTGGGGAATGAGAATTCCCGTTGTGAAAGGTTGCAGAGTGCATGATGCACATGGGATAGGAGGGAGAAAAATCTCCTGCTATAAAGAAAAAGCTGTGGATTAAGGACTGCATTAATGCTTTAGTTAATAAATCAGGGCTGTAACAAGCAACAAGTCTTCATACAGTGACAAAACATTGTGCAGGTATACAGCAGGAAAATGAAGTAAGCATTTTAAGCCTCAATAAATTATAACAAGCAAATTAGGCATACAGTGTAAGAGAATGTTTTTTTACCTTGCAAATTCAAATGGTGAAGCTGTGCACACCACTGGTTATGATGGATAACTTGCTAAACTACCGTAACTTGAGTGCATCAGGGCACAACCTAGAGAGACCTTAACAATACTGCTTAGGTGGAGTATTTTTCTCTCAGAAGGTGCTAGTCATGAAAAATGAAGACATGATGATTTCAATAAACTTTATATTCACAGTGCGGAAAACGAATATGTGAACAGAAACCTGTTTGTTCTCTCCAGTATTTGTCATTTCACCATCTATTTTGTTAAATTCGCATTGTACGTATCACTTGGAATAATGATTGTGTTAATTTTATATTTGAGAATTTTTGTTTGTAGCATAACACAGCTAAAAATAAAGCAAGGGCACATAACCTAAAGGCATCAAAATAGAGTCTTGACAACTGAATTTTTTTTCCTTTGGCATTGAAGGAAATTTCATACTTTTAATTTTATACTGCCTTTCAGTGACTTTTAATGACAGAATTTTCAATTCAGCTTCAACCAGCTGTAGAGTGACAGAGTGAACATTCTTCTTTAAAGACCTGAGTCCAAATGGTTGTTTAAAGTGTGAGTAAAAAGTAGTTTGGTGATGTTGCGGTAACGTCGGGTTACCATCTGTCACATTATTTCTGGGATCTGCTTGATTGATTCCCAGCAAATCACTTCCTGCAAGCATTATTTGCTAAACTTTCTGATGGGCAAAGGCTATTTCTGTGTTCATGAGGCATCGTTACTGGGGAACATTTCATTACCAAGTGATGACATTCTGTAAAATATCCTGGTGCATGGGCAAATGCCAGCACCACTTCTCAACAGTGGGGTGGCTGAGTGCACCTTACTTGGCAACCTCCAACAGATGCCAACCTTAAAATTTGCCAAGGGCACAATAGTAGCCCATGTTCTGACATCCTTCAACACGTTGGGTGCTCTGCTGACAAAAAGCCTATTCCACTGAAACCACGAGAGGGCTGCTGGCTAAGAAGGAATTTCTCCAGAGAGAAGTGGGCAGCTTGAGCAATGACTTGGTCACTTTGCCTGGTCTGGATTGTTCCCGCTCCTCCTCCCACCCTGAGACCCTGAGCACCAAGGTACAGAGTACAAGGTACAGAGTGAACCAGGCACAAATCCATGAGGATCAAATGTCCACGCTGTGTTCCCAGATTTGCCAGTGGAGCAGAACGTATTTATTCACATTCCCATGCCTTGCTTTCCTCTCCTGTAAATGAAAATCCCAGTTTTTAAAAGCATTCTGAGTGTTTTTGCACCAACCACAAGTGTGAAATGTCATTGCAATAAGAACAAATGTATACTTTGTTAACGTGCCGTAAAACATTTAACTGTGGTGCTTATTTAAGTCCTGATCTTACACAGATTTAAACCCACTTATGAATACGAGTAGCCCTGTGGAAGACTAGATTACACATGCACTTAAGTGTTATCAGATTGAAGTCATAGAACAACAATCACAAAAGGTACTTAATCACCTTTAAATTACAGTGTTCCTAATTTAGCTAATGTTATTCCCCAAGGAAAAATTGCCTCATCTAGCATATAATCAAGAGGGAATCAAGGGCTCTTCCTTCAAGTGGTTGACAGTTCGAAAAGAGATATGGCTTTTAAAAAGAAGTTGCTAAAGGCTGAACCATTTAATTGAATTATCTCTTTAAGAAATTGATGCAAATTAATATTATAATACTGCATTACATTGCCACAGAATCTTTCATCCTTAAGCCTTCTTAAAATGTATTAATAAACTTGAAAAACAAATGTACATTTGGTGGTTTTTTTTGTTATGAAACCAGTATCCTGTCCCTGTTTGAGGCTTTCTAATAATGATTTCTATTTTGAAGGATGACAGTGTTTTCCTCTTCATAGACTGAGAGAAAAGGAGCCCAAGAGCTTCCAAGAGGTGGAGTCCCTGACGTGATTTCATGCAGTCCTCAAGGTGCTTGCCAGGTACAACCCTGCTCAGTCCATAGAAGAAGATGAGCTCATTTTACAATGCCTGATTGGATGGAGAGGTAAGATAGCAGGCAACACAGCCAGAGAGATGACGAAAGGAACTGATGAAATATGGAGCAATCCCACCAGAACCCATGTGAGCCAGCTGTCCCAACAGCATTACAAATATTAGATAGTCACCCCTCCTTATCACTGGTGAAAACTTTGTCTTATATCTAAAGAGGATTAATTCACTGGTCATACATAGAGATGGGGACCTAGTGAGGGAGAATTCACTTTTTTTTCACTAGTCTCTGGTTTCAAAACATAAGAAATAACAATGTTGTGGTTCTCCATCTATATTCGGGTTATTTTTATGCCCCCAATTGTTTTTAAATTACTAAGCAGGACTGCTGTAGTGGGGGTTCTTCTGCAATCACTTCTGCTTGCTGCTTGCTGGCAAAATAACAGCTGCTATTGCTTTACCAGGATTGATTTCTATATAACAGCTCCATCTAAAGCCTACCTACAGGCAGCAACTCTGCAGCAAAATATCAATGCGGTTTCATTTTCAGCTGTAAGCTTTGCTCATAAGAAAAAACAATACATTTTCAGCAAAGTCCAACATGGGATGTCATTCATTCAGAGCACATAGAGGACAAGATGCTTACTTTTAGTGGGCTGTATTAGTTTTCCACTCCCCCCCTTCACTAACAAGTAGGAAAAAAAGGCTTTACCCAAGCTATCTCTGTGCACAAGGCACAAAGCCGAAAATGAGGGCTTGCGTAGTGTACCAAGGGCTTTACAGATAGGCCATGATTTTCGGTCATGGGAATGTGAAATGCTGTTGCTCACATTTGCCATCTCAGGTTGGTAGATTCAGAAAAAGGCTCTCAGGTCTATCGCCTCCTTCCAAGCAATGCTCCTGTTACTGCTCTTAAAACTCCGGCATGATGAACCCCAATAAGTGACCAGTGGGGTTCCCATAGCTGAGGTTATGTGGTCACTTTCATCCTGAGCAAGTCCACAGTAGCACCGACAGTGCATTTCCACGCTCACTGCTCAGCCATGGCCTCCTTCCTACACTGTCCCATGTCACCAGCACCAGAGCTCAGACAACCATATGTATGATGGGTCCCAAGGGGACCTGATTTGGCTGAAAACTAAGCCTGCAAAGAAAGACAATTTTAGCCCAGAGGAGGATCCTGCCTTTTTGTGTTTCATGGAGAAGGGGCAGCCTGCATAACCATTCCCATGCTTATTCCCTAGAAGATTCCTTCTTGTTTCTCACCTACAGCCAATACGGGTTTAAATATCCAGAACTGTCAGTGTGAGCCCTCTTGAAAACTGGCTTCATTACCTTATATTAGGTTCTGATATGGACACATTCACCTCATAAAGACAGGGCTCACTTTCACATTTTAAAGCTATTTAGCTGATGTGTTTTAAAGTCACACGCTAAACTGATTTGAATAAAATTTCCTGAATGCACCTATGTAGACAAGCAGTAAGTGAACAAAAAAATAATCAGGTTATACTTGGAGTTACAGACATGCTTAAACACTGACAAAATAAAGCCTATGATGATAGATGTCACTTTTGCAAATATCTCATGTTCTCTTCTTTAAAGCAACATCAACATTGACTTAATTGCACATCAGAGAATCAACAAGGTCAGAAAAGACCTTTTAGATCATCAAGTCCAACTGTTCCCCAGCACTGCCAAGACCACCATGTCACTAAGGGCCTCGTCTACATGGTTTTTGAACACTTCCAGGGACAGTGATTCCACCACAACTTTTATTCCTTCTTGTTTGTAGGTATTAGAGTTGCCTGTTGTGCTTTATCTCCAGCACATACTTTTGTCCAAACTGTTGTTGGCCATTTCCCCTTTAGGTGTGATGTAAAATGAAACTGAGTTCTTCTGTACCTCCCATCAAGCAATAATTTTTAGTAGGTCACTATTCCTGAAATCTGAGATTCGTATTTATTGGTACGCACAGAACTCCATGTGTTGAACCACCTCAGGACACAGTCACGTGAAACATAATGCAACACTTTCTCCTATAAAGGAAAACATTATTTTTTTGCCAGTCCATAAATCCAGCCTTTAAAACAAGCGTTGCATTCACAAAGAAATGGTTTAGTAAAAAAATAAAGCATGTTTCAATGGGCAGACTTCCAGCTCTGTGTGAGTAGGGAATACTCAAGCTTTTTCTTTTTCCTATCTCTTTACTTATGTTTCTGAAATACTAGTGAAAACAACTTGAATGCTAATCCTCTTCTCCAGAGCCAGACACCTGGGATGTCAGTGAGCAGAAATTGTTAGGTAGAGGTGTCTACTATGAGTCCAAGCTGCAAACTCCAGAAAGCACTTTGGGGACATCAGATCATGCTGAGAGCCTTCTAGTGTACAGTTTCTTCTAAAAAAAGAAGTAACAGAAGAATTAGAAACAAGAGGAGACTTCCAGTGAAGCAAAGAAAATGAACAGAAAGAAAAATCTAGTCTACTGGTCCAAATAATACAGGCAGACTAGCACGTACTGGAATTTGGGACTAAACCCAAAGAGAGCTGACATGAGGACACACTGCAGGGAGGGACAAGCACAGGGATGAATGGTGCCATTGTGAGACTATTTTAATTAATTTTTGTAATGAAGCCAAAGCTCTAATTTACCACATCCCAAAAGTAAATAGAAAAGGGTATGACCTTAATTTCAGAGGTGGGGAAGGAAAACCTAATTGTTAAGTAGTCAGCTGTCACTCGTTATTGCAATTGGATAGATACACTTGGTGTGTTACTATGAATAGGCCAGATTCAACAGCCCAAATAGTGGGTAATGACAGTTTTGTTCTCTCTCTTCTTCATATTCTTTCCAAGTCTTTGATTAGTAACATTTTCTATCGGTTTTACCATGTGGATTGCAATACTCCAGACTCCACCAGACTCTGAGTAAGCCCGTCTGGGCCACAGAATAGATTTCTTTTTTTGTCTTAGCAGGCAGATGTGTGCAACACTGGCAGGATGCAAAACATACAGACACTACAGGAGGTCCCTCTTGCCTTCTTACTTTCTGCTAGCCCCAAGTGAGTATATTCCTATACAGCAGCTAGTGGTGGAAGACAGTTTTTCAATGTAGAATGTCTGCAATCTGAAAAAGTACAAAAGTTGTATCTGTTTCTAACCACGGTCACTAAATAAATACAGTTTGATGTGCCTTATATGCTCTTGAAAACATGCCTTTGTTTGCATCACTCAGACTGCGCACAGCCATCCCTGCACTTAACTTTATGGGGTCATTTCAATGGAACAAGGGAGGGATGCATGCACAGATCTGAGATTGGTGTGAATTCCTTATGTCTTATCAAATGCTGTACCCACATAATTATGTGCCCATATAAAAAGAGTTTTCTACTCCAGATATTTCTGTTCTTTGCCCTATAATACCAGTTTGAAGAGGAAGTTATCCAGCATGAGAACATGAAGGATTTAGGCAGAAATGTTCATAATAAAAAATGCTGTTCTAGCAAGTTCTTCTATGGCATAAACAAAGGAGTCATCTGCGTTAGGCTGACTTGTTCAGACAAAGCATACTGGTATTAGGGTCAATATTATTAGATTAACACCTATAATGTGGGAGCTATCATCCCAAATACAAATAACAAATAGTTTGTGCCCCCATATCCTCGTGTTAACAGCCACCTTCCTTTTTCAGTGCATGCAGAAGCAGCTGCCTTTATTCTGTAATAATGAACTGTGCTTTTTTCAATATTCCCACTCAAAATCCCGAGTGAAGGCACTTCTTCTGTAGTATGTCTTTAAATCTGCAGTGGCAGGGCAAGTTAGTTAGCTGGTTGGCATCAACATTTACTAGTTTAAGTCCTGAGCTCAAAATTCAACGTATTCTTCTGCCAGGAATCAAGATCATCAGGAAAATTCACCTGGTGCTTTCAACAACCAAGAATAAACCTCCTGAATGACTTTCTAAATTTCTGCCAGTACAGGGAAATGACAGATCTTCGCTTTTCTGTGCTGTCTCATCAAGAGTGGACTGTCTTTTATTGAAGGACACATTTTAACAAAACAGAAATTAGCACAAATCCTGATGGCCTGTGCTATCCGACAGAATGATCTAATGGTGTCTTTTGACTTTGAAGGCTATGGCTGCATCAATCAACCTCTAAAGCAGACCCAGGGTTTAGCACAAATGCTGAGAGACAGCTGCCAGTCTTAGTGATGCTCAGGGATGATATATGGAGAAAGCACTGATCCTTTCATGCTCTTGTCCCAGTGGGTTGAGGCACAGCAGCAGGAGGGAGAAAGAACCTGTAACATGATCTGTGCATGGCAGTGTGCTGGTCTCCAAAGCTGTGTCTCTCTTGAGGACTCTAAGGTTGTTGGCAGAGGTAATACCTTTCATTAGGCCGAGTGGGATATTTGGCAGACAAGTGTTTAAGTGCACAAACTTTTCCTAAGACCTGTGTGAAATGCAGAACATTTCAAAGCTAAGTGAGGACATTTCAAATATGAAAATTATTCCTGGGTAACATTTGATGCTGCTCTCGTGTGAAAAAGCAAAGCGTCATCTTTTAGAAGAGAGCTTCCACATCAGTTTTCAGATATAAAAATATCCTCCCTGGATATCTGGGTACTGGTTGACATCCACATCTTTTGGCCTTTTATATCCGAATACCATGGCAATGCTGATACCCCAGCCTTGCTCGCCAGCAGGGATGGGTGAGCAAGGCTGACGGGCATTAGTTCCTGCTGACGGAGGCTGCAGTGCAGGGTCCCCTCCTGCCTCTGCTTGAAAGGGGGAGCAGATTTTACGCCCTTCAGTTGCAAAAGGAGTGCTTGGCTCTGCTGTCAGCACTGGCCTTCGGCTCTGTAGATCTCACTCATCTGCAAAGAATTGCTACACACTGACCTAGATATTCTGTCAGCTCTGCTGCAGCGCTGGTTCGGTGACGGGGCTGCCATTCCCTGGTCTCTGCTCTGCCCTATATCCCTCCTTGGAGGTAAAAAATACAGAGGGGCAAATGAGTGTTAATCAGAGTAGCATTCTCCTCTGATGTTTTTTCTGGAAAAGAGGGTTTCCCAGGGAAATCTGTTGCCTTAATATTCCCTTCCCTGCCACCTCATTATGTTGCTCTGTTTGAGAAATCCTGCCACGTTTCAAACATAGACTGTCCTGAAGAGAAGAGAAAACGTGCAACTTCCATTCCCTCCTTTCCTTGCATCTCCACTGTGCGCTCCACAGTACATCAAAAGAGAGTGGGGAGGGCAATTTATTAGATAAAGAGAGGGCCCCAGAGCGAGGGTAGGCCTGGACCTCTGACAGCAGCCGTCTGAGACGTCCACACTGTACTCCATTGGTGTATGATTAACAGGGCACTCATCCAGTTTGAGAAGCACAGCTGATAGTATGAAAGTGTCTTTGTAGCTGCTGATCTGTATTAGATAGGAAATGAAAAAAGCCAAAACCCAAACCCTTAATTGCCTCTAAAATTTCACTAGAGTCAAATTAGATTGGCAAATCTAATTCTTCCTCTAGAAAAATTAACAGCTGTAAAGGTACATCTGAGATTACCCATAAAGGGGAATGTTCATCTTTGCAGTCTTGCTGTAGAGCACTACAGAGTCAAAACCAGCAGAGGATCCCGGAAGGCAAACTTTGTCCTGTGTGCTTGCTTCATGTGACAGTGTTAGGCATCAAGAAAAGACAGCATCCTGCAGCATGGTGAAGCATGGTAGTGCACTGCCTTGCCTCCCTCAGTAGCTCAAGGGAAAAAGCTGCCTGGACCTAGAGACTCTCTGGTTGAACCTGGTGTACTACAGAGTGCCCTGGATAAACTCCTGTCCTCCTTTCTGCTCTGAACTATGAAGAGCCACAGGCTCTGTTCTCTGCTCCTGCACACTGCTTTCTGAAGGGAATTATTCAGACTAAAATGCTCCAACTTTGTCTCTTGTGTCTTTGTAACAAGGGTACTGCAGCCTCAGAGGGACCAGTCACCCCTGTGCGCTGCGTCAGAGCCATCCCAACGGGATGCAGGATGTGGTTTTGGCTTGGTGTTGGTGAGACAGGGCAAACAGTCCTACCAGTCATTCAGCCACGTATGACAGGTTTTCTTGCAGATTGTTCAGATAAGTGGGAAAATACTGCAAGGCAAAGCAATAAACATAGTAATTCACTCAGCAGGATTTGGAGGCCAAGGTGAAGAATGCAGTAGCAAGGGAAATCAATGCGACTTTACTCTGAGATATATGAAAATACAACATTGGCACTTGTTAATTTCTTAGAATTATGAAAAGAGTTCTCTATAGACCAGTGTCTTGAGGGAAGTGAGGGATTCCTTGGATTCAGGAGACATCTTTCTCTAAGAAGGGGAAAGCAAACAGGAGGAGAGCTCTGACAGCCCTGCCCTATGCTCTTTGGCTGATGCATTCCTTCCCGAGGTAATAAAAATAATAGTGTTTTCAGAAGTGCTCTTGCTGACAGCATGACTGTGACAAGGGATGGTCTGGGGAGATGTCAGCCCCATTTTCACCTCTCACCACTGCTTTTTTCTCCCTCACTAAGCTCTGATTAAAAGCAATCTTTCTTTTACATCCACAGTCTTGCCAGGGCCAGATCCTCAGCCACACAGTGAAGCCTGAGTGACGGCGCTGGGTGAGAGGAGGGAGTGATGGGAAAGCTGGGTGGCAACAGGGTTGTGTTTTGAGAAGAGCTGCCCAAGGAACAAGTGTGTACAAGATGTTTTCCCACTCCTTGAAGACTTCAGAGCATTTCTGTGGTTAGGGAGAGGGCCTGGACTCCATCAGAACAAGACCAGCAGCCTCAAAAGCCAGTGTCTGGCTGACTTCTGCTATATTGTCAGGTGACAAAGGACACAACACCCTAAACATTCGGTGCCTGTGTCACAGGGCTGCATTTCAGCTGAGCAGAACCAGCCTGAGCTGGAGCTTACCCTGGGACAAACCAGCCAGATCTTTTGTTTCCATCTTTCCCACCCAGGGCTCCTGAAGATGACAGCTGACTTGCTTTCCCCACTTCTCAGTGCACACTGCAAAGCCCATCTTCCCCAGGCTGCAAAGGCAGGCAGAGCGATGTGATCAGATATGGGGGTCTGGAAGCTGTGGGATGTTTTAAGCAGGCATGGATCATTTGGCAGCATAGACAATATTTGTGATATTTTTTTGAAGGAGAGCCTATTATGAGAAGCTTTTGTATTCAAATTGTTTGAATTACAGTATCCCCCTGAAAAATGTTGGTGTTTTAATTTTGTATAAGAACTACAAAACATACTGCAGAGCACTGCAGTGGCACCAAGGGATTAAAAATAAGGTAATATGAGAAGCTGGTGAGCTGGTTTGTCTGTCACCTGCCAAGAGTTTAACTTCCAGTTGAATTCAGCAACTTTGCTCTTAAAGGTACTGAGCTTTCCAAGTAATAAAGTAAATGCAAAGATGGCAAGCAGTGCATTTAAAACATTTATCAGGGCCAGAGCAATAAATATATTCCATTCCCCCATTTCTATTTATGAATTTACTTAAATGCAGCTAGATGATGTAATTTTACAAAGAACATAATATTATTCCCTCACAGTAATCATGCATTGATTGCCAATGCAATCTGAGTGGTACAGAAGAAGAAATAGGAAATACACATCCAGATTTTGTTATTTCTCTCCCACTGTGATCACTCATTGGACTTGCTTTCCTTCTCTGTCCCATCTCTCCATTGCAGGCAAGAAGCTGAGTGTGCCAAGGAGAAATGGTGGTTTGCAATGCATCTGTGCCACGCATGGTATGAAAGCTGGTCCTCCTGCTCTCACATGGACTGTACACACAGGGCACATTACATGCATGGCTGCTACAGCATAAGCTCTTAGGAGCACTATGTCAGCTTGTCTTCCGATATCCCAATAAAACAGAGCTTTTGGAGCATAATTTTTCAAGATGTGAGTGGATATTTCTACCATTGCAGTCCATGTAGTGGCTGAGCCTTTTCCTGCCAGGTGGCTATTTTATTTCTTCAGGATTCGGTGCACTTTCTGTTGATGCTAGTGACAGGTCTCCCACTTACGATGCTGGGAGGAGGAGCTGTCTATTGTCGTAACAGCATATTGTATGCAAAATCTAATAACGAGGATTTTGTAAATATGGCACTGCATTGATTTAGCTGATTTTATGCCTTTTCCATGCCTTGATCTGGAGCAAC